TGGGTACCTAGGTGCCTGAAATAACAGGCTACAAATTTAGCGGTCAGATGCTATGTGGAGAGTAGATTTTAGTTATGGGATGCGTCATTCCTCTGGAAAAACGGGGCTGTAGCTGAGGTTATTCGACTTGCGACATATTCAACTCGGAAATCACCTCCCCCCGATCCTAGTAACAATTGATCCGCCAGGGGGTGTAGGTGGTACGGGGTCAGTAACTAGGCTGAATGGCTCTGCAGCCTGCATCCGTCCCCACTTTGGAGCCTCAAGGTGACATATAAAGTCCCTTTTTTGATGTCAGCTGTGTTCTCTCTCCTTTCTCCTGACCTGAGTTGGGAGCTCGCCAGTTTTGCACCCTGAGGCGACAGATTTATCGTTGCATGATTTCGGTCTTCATCAACTCAAGTCTGAAGAGGACTGACGAGTTGTATTGTCTGTTCGGGTTGTGAGCGGTAAGGTGGTTTTCCGAAGGAGCTGAGCAGAGAGAGCAAGTCAAGGCGGCCGGACCAAGTGATCTGCCCCCACATCATCTCATTCTCTCCCCTCCCTCCCTCTCTCTCTCTCTCCCGTGACGTCCATCCGCTCCCTTAGTGACACCCACTCATCCACTCACCCACCCTGACTACCACCACTACCACATCCGCGCTTCTTCTCCTTCTTTTCCATTTCCTCCACCCCTCTCCAGATTGATAACCTCAAGCTACGCATCGATCATATTGAGAACTAATCCTGCACGATTCCCCACCACGGACTCCTTCCTTTCCCTTCCATCCCACCCTTCGGATCTCGGAAAATTTACCTCACCCTGATTCCTCGGTAGGCTGTGACTGTGTTGCCCCGGTAAAAAAGGAAGGTCTCGACCAACCATCTCGAGACCGACTTTTTTTTCGTGTCAACACAAACCCCGGCTTGCCAACGGACTCTGCCCAAAGCTATTCACCACGCCTCCCCTCACGAGAAAGAGAAAGGCGGCCGAGGCGACGCTTGTAGACAACGCGACCACAGCAGCAGCGACAGCCGCCACCACCACCTCCTCCGATACTAACGTCGCCTTCGCGCCCGCCGCCACCGCACCCTGCTCTTCTGACAAATCCACCCGGAAAAAGCTCAAGTCGACCGACCGGGACCCCGACACCGAATCCCTTGCTGCGATCTCCAACGGCCTCTCGGATCTGTTGGAGGAGGAGAAGAAGTCGAAGGCGACTGATCTCGTTACCCCTGCGTCGACCAGCATGGAGTCCGACGAGGATTTCATGAGCGTCGGTTCCAGTCCCGATGACTTTCTAGACACCCAAGGCAGTGATGTCGAGAGCCTGGGCGACGGTACGTGATGATGCTAGCTCCCAATGCTCTCCCTCTCCTACACTTCTTCTGCCTTGTGCGTCGATCGTAACACTGACCCGTGTTGTTCCTGGGAAAACAGATTTCGGTGACGACTTTGACGGCGGGTTCTCCAAAGACAAGGATATCATCGCGACGAAACGGAAGCCGTACGAGGTGGAATTCAAAGTCTTGAGCCCGGACGATATCGAGCGGCAGCAGAATGTGCAGATCAACGAGGTTTCCTCGATTCTCGGCCTGCCCCCAGAGTCGTCGGCCATCCTGTTGCGGTACGGACGGTGGAAACGCGAGAAGTTGATCGAGTCGTATATGGATCATCCAGAAGAGACCCTGGAGGAGGCGGGCCTGGGGACCAATTTTGAGGGAACGCCGAAGACCGAGGTGGTATCCGGGTTCGTGTGTGAGATTTGCTGCGAGGATGGCGACGAGCTCGAGACGTATGCTATGCGCTGCGGGCACCGCTTCTGCGTTGACTGCTATCGCCACTACCTGGCCCAGAAGATACGCGGGGAGGGTGAGGCAGCGCGGATCGAATGTCCCGGCAATGACTGTCACATGATTGTGGACTCGAAATCATTAGGATTGCTTGTGACGGATGATCTACGGGAAAGGTAAGATGGACCTGATTTTAAGGGGGATGTTGCTCACAACGCTGATGTTTTCTGGCAGATACAAAGCTCTTCTCATGCGGACGTACGTCGACGACAAAGATAATCTCAAATGGTGCCCTGCACCGGAATGTGTATATGCGGTGGACTGTCCTATCAAGCAGCGTGATCTGCGCCGCATTGTGCCCACAGTCCAGTGCGACTGTAAGCACTACTTCTGTTTTGGATGTACACTCAACGACCATCAGCCTGCACCATGCATGCTGGTCAAGATGTGGCTGAAGAAGTGTGAGGATGATTCCGAGACCGCGAACTGGATCTCCGCCAACACGAAAGAGTGCCCGAGATGCCATTCAACGATCGAGAAGAACGGTGGCTGCAACCACATGACGTGTCGAAAGTGCAAGCATGAGTTTTGCTGGATGTGTATGGGACTGTGGTCGGAGCATGGCACTAGCTGGTACAACTGCAACCGGTACGAGGAGAAATCCGGGTCCGAGGCCCGCACTGCGCAGGCGCGATCTCGGGAGTCGCTGGAGCGGTACCTCCACTACTACAACCGATATGCCAACCACGAGCAGTCGGCCAAGCTGGATAAGGACCTGTACCTGAAGACGGAGAAGAAGATGACCAGTCTTCAGTCGCAATCCGGTCTCTCGTGGATCGAAGTCCAGTTTCTGGACACCGCATCGCAGGCACTGCAACAATGCCGACAGACCCTGAAGTGGACGTATGCGTTTGCCTACTACCTCGCGCGCAACAACCTGACCGAGATCTTCGAGGACAATCAGAAGGATCTAGAGATGGCCGTGGAGAGTCTGAGTGAGATGTTCGAGAAACCGGTACCAGAGCTCGCAAAACTGAAGGTCGATATTTTGGACAAAACGGCTTACTGTAACAAACGGCGGGTGATTTTGCTGAGCGACACAGCAGAGAATTTGAAAAATGGTACGTTCTTCCCTTTCTTTGTTTCCTCATACTTGGGGTGAATGGTTCACTGATTTTCGATCAACAGGAGAATGGTCATTTAATGTGGATTGGTAGAGAACAGACATACTCAACTCCTTCCCCTCCATCCCCCTTCCCGTGCAACTAGAAGCAAGCATAAGAAATCACGACGTGCATGACAAAAAACCAGCGCATATGGATTGTTTTCTCTCTTCATCATCGATACTTATATTCAACTCTTGTTTATCCCAGACAGGCGCACCCCCGATTGTTCCCTACTGTATGTATCTCTATACATGACTACTTGCAGGGCGAGACCATTTTCTGTTTGCACTCATCCTCTATGTATGTGATACTGGCCGCCTTATTTTATTATTACAGTCTGTCTTTTTTTTCGCAAGCCGATAAGGTTGCGAGGATGTTATATTTATATTCTGATTCGTCTTGCAACTGGCGACCTCTCTTCTTAGCATGTGCATTTTCTTGAAACTGTTTTTCATGGAAAAGAGGTATTGAACATGCTGCGTCTCAGAAACTTCTCGATTAGCTGGAATGACACAAAGATAGCTAAGTTTACATGTTTGGCCAGGGTTACTGAATGAACTCAGGTTGGAACCAAGTTCTTGTTTTAATGGTTAGATGTGCACGTCTCATTCTATCCCGTAGTGGCGACAACTACAGAAGAGCAGTTGTTAGTGAGTATCATAGTGCCGGAAGTAAATAGCTCTCACACAGGAAGCGGGACGGGGAGGAAGAACTGAGCCTTGAACTAACTAGACTAGACAGACAGTAAGTCAGGTGCTTCATGTGCCGTGTTTCTATCTCCTCGGAACTTTTCGATCCTGATGGGTCTCAAGTCTTGACTCTCCTTTTTTGGCCCCTGGTTTAGGTAATTGATCCATCGATTTTAATTCTTCCATTTCCCTTCTGGAATAGAATGTCCCACTCTTTTTTTCTTTGTCGCGGCTGAGTCCTGACAGACAGGATTGATCTTAGATTCTGGATGGAGTACAGAGTAGTCTGCAGGATGTAGGAGATGATCAGGTTGGGATTGATTGGGGATCATCTATTTTTTTTCTGGTTGAGTTTCTTTACCAGGCCTTTTTTTTTTCTCTCGAATTCTCTACGGGCTTCCATAGTACGTCTACTAAGTGGCTGTAGAGATTATAGGGTTTTACTTTGAGTCGTTCTGTCTGGTGTTGGGAGGGTATACTCAATCATACTAGGAAGAGGATGTCCGAAATCTCAATCAGATAAGACAGCGACAATCAAAGGAACCCGGGTTCAAGGTTCCCGTCCTTTTTTTTTTTTTTTCACTTTTCGGATCATCGGGGACGCCTAGCCCCGAGAGGGAAAAGCCAACTGGTGGGTCACCAATGAATGATTCCTCCGCGGTTCGGCGGTTGGATTAGACTGCTCTACCACTAACGTTGCTGGCACTAGAAAAGATGGGAAAGAAAGCCTAGCTTTTCAGTACAGTGGAATCGAGAAGGTGGCGGAAGTGCTTTGGAGGGTGCGATGTTAGATCTGTGACTTTGTGGCTCAGAAGAGGCAGGCCCAGTTTGTCAGCCTTGAGCAGAAAAGTAACACATTACAACTGTTCATGACATGTGGGCATGAGGGCAAAGCTCCGTCATCGGACTGGGGACGAGATGCCTCGGTGTACACAGTAAGATTATTGCCTAAGCTTGGGAGGCTAGCCTGTTCTAGGTCGGGGTAGCTGATTCAGCGATCCCGACCGGGGAGAGGGAGAAGAATACCGAGAGAAAATCAGGACTGTCGCGATGAACGAAAGAAGTAATACAAAGAGAAGAATTTTATTGAGAAGGACAATGTGCCTCTATGTGATGATATTGTACCTATATTGGGCAACCCAAAGCACAGTTGGAGTGAGAAATCGCGTGGCTAATTGTACCCCATCTCAATCCATCTACTTACTCACTTATCTGATATGATCGACTCGAGGGACAATCAGAAGTCACAGCTACTGTGACAACTAAGGATCAAGCTTGCAGGAAGCATATTAGCATGATAGTACGCCGTACTCTGTAACACCACTGCATGAATCAGAATGGTTCCCAAATCAGTTTGGCTCACTGCCGGACTCTCTTTCTCTCTCTCGTTCAGATCATGACCGTACCATTACCGGACATTCCGCTTTCATACCTCGTTGTAGCTCCCGAGTCCCAGTTGGCCCCAGTCTAGCCTGGAAGGGTCAGGTACCATACCGTCAGAATGGTAACCAGTCGGTACGGGATATTTGCTGCTATCGGCCTGCAGGCGGACTTTTTTAGTTCACCATCCCAAGAATTATCAGCATTTCTTCTTTTCCTGCCTTCTCTCCATCTCTCCCCTCATCTTCCCTACCCCATTGATTCTTCCCCGTACTTACTCGGGTTGAGGCTGGTCTCTCTACTATCTCCTTGTTCTCCTTCCTCTTCTGCATCTCCTTACAGTTCCTCGAGAAACGCCCTCCCCTTCTCCCTACCGCTATACCCACTTTCCCAGTCCCCTCCGCCCGGATCGGCCTTCCCTCTCCGCTCCGCAAAGTCCGTTTTTCTGCGTCGGCATTTTCGGGCCTACAGCTTTGAGAACCAACTCTCCTCGATCGCCCCTCGGAGCTCCCTTCGCGTTTCTTCTTCCACGTATCTCGTCGCTTCGTAGCACTCGCTACGCCCAGAATACCTCAAGAGCTCAATGGCGGTCCCCGAACAGATCCCCGGGCAAGAATATGAGTATGTGGCTCCTGTCCGCTCTCCAGTCCACATTTCCCTGCCTTGGTCGGCAATGGCCTCCACCATCCGTGGACTCAAAACACATCTGCGGAAGGGGGGCATTCTAGGTCACAGTTTTCGCTATACTCCGTAACTGGAACTGCGCTGCTTGGCTACGAATCGCCAAAGAGCAGGAAATAACGGCACACCTTTTTTGTGTAATGACCACCCGCTAACCGCAGCCTGATGATGACAGCTATGAAGCCCTCCCCTCCAACTACGGCTTAGGCGCCAATATGTTGGCTGGCGCCTTTGCAGGAATTGCAGTACGTGCTAGGACGAGCAGAAACTTATCTTTGAAGTGGCTGGGGTGTGCTGACCATGGGGGTCCTTGTTTTAGGAACACTCTGTCATGTATCCGGTAGACTTGTTGAAGGTATGTGGCTCATGCGAATTGTGGCACCAGATGCGAGCTTGCAGAGGCAGTGCGCAGGAATCTCAACTTGGCTGGGGGAAACTAAAACCTTGACAGACTCGCATGCAAATCTTGCATCCTACGACTGGAGGGCTCTACACAGGCTTGACTAATGCGGTTTCGACGATTTACCGGATTGAGGGCTGGCGGACACTGTGGAAGGGTGTCTCGAGTGTGATCGTTGGCGCTGGTGAGTTTTTTGCGAGAGCAGCAGGATCGGAAATTTGGACGAAGTCTGACTGGTGTTTCCCCCTCGGACAGGTCCCGCTCACGCCGTGTACTTTGGAACATATGAGATGGTGAAGGAGATGGCGGGTGGTAATGTCGACGACGGCCATCACCCGGTCGCGGCAGGTGAGTTGCAATTTCCGCAGATGTGAAGCGACACGGGCGCGATGGCTGACTGGCCATAAACTACTAGCTCTGAGCGGTGCTTCTGCGACTATCGCTAGCGATGCCTTGATGAATCCCTTTGACGGTGAGTTTTTGTGCGACTGCTCGACTTCGCAAAGCAGCCTCTGACTCCGCGCAGTGATCAAGCAACGTATGCAGGTGCATGGTTCGGTACACAAGAGTCTCCTTCAATGTGCCCGGTCTGTTTACCGCACGGAAGGTTTCCAGGCATTCTATGTCTCCTATCCCACTACCCTCTGCATGACTGTCCCCTTCACCGCCACTCAGTTTGTCGCCTACGAGTCCATTTCCAAGATCATGAACCCGTCGCAGGATTACGACCCGTTCACGCACTGTATGGCCGGTGGTCTGGCGGGTGCCTTTGCGGCCGGTCTGACCACCCCGCTCGACGTGGTGAAGACGCTGCTGCAAACTCGGGGTTTGGCGCAAAACGAGGAAATCCGCTCGGCCAAGGGTCTGTTCAACGCGGCGGCCATCATTAAGCGGCAGTTTGGCTGGAAGGGCTTCCTGCGTGGCGCTCGGCCCCGCATCATTTCCACCATGCCCAGTACCGCTATTTGCTGGTGAGATCGATCCGGCACCAAACTCTTGGAGAAATATTTCGCTGATCGTATTTATCTAGGACCTCCTACGAGATGGCCAAGGCCTATTTCAAGGGCCAGCCGGACAACTAAGCCCACCTTTTCATTTTTTCCTCAACGGCCCAATCGCATGAATCCGACACACTTCAGCTTCCCAACCCACTTCTTCGCTTCCCTTCCTCTGCACCTGATCCCCCGGGGAGAAACACGCAACAACCCCCTCCCGCCTTTGCATCGCTTCCCCCTCCTAAAAAACATTCAAGGATAGAAATAATAAAATCACGACTCAGAAAATAGCCCAAAATGCTTCGAATCGATGGAGAGAAAAAAGAACGAACCTATTATCCAATGCATCACATGCGAGGAGAAAGGCAGACATTGCAGAAGACAGGGTCCCCCCGGTGACACTATCTGGGCGCTGATATAGGGGGCTTTTTCCTCTTCCGATGTTTCTCTCGCTCCTGGTTCCTCTGTCCCCTGCTTGGTTCTCTGTCTTGCTACACACTCACTCCCGTCATTTCGAGTGTCAATATCATCATCATCATTATCATCACCACCACCACCAGCACTACCACCACCACTATACCCCCGACATTTTACATATCGCCAAGTCCGAAGCCAAGACGGGGAGACTCCGAGGGACTCCCAGTCTATCTCCGAGCTGAGCTGGAACCCTACTTATATTACTCTTCTGACGTGTTATTTTTCAATTTTCTTGATCTGGATGGGGGTTTCTGTTTGGCTGGATGAGTTGGCTAGATGGCGAAAAGTGGACCATCGGGGTGTGGATTGGCGGTTGCGCAGCTGCTGTAATTACTGCTGCTTCTTGGTTGGTTCGAGGCCTTCTGATTTCACTGGGCCTGATGTATGCTTAACTGGTAGGCGTTGACGGGACGCAAGGGGGAAATATCTGGACGATTTTCCTTTTTTTTTTGGACTGTCACGTTGGACTACTACATCTTCTTCCTCTCTGCGCTGCACTGCATTTTATTCTTAGTCTTTGCTGCGCCGCTCGGGATACACTGCGATTGATTCATTGTGAATAAATTTCTGTATGTACGTTATATAGAGAGAAACTGCAGGAAGAGGCTGATTGGATTTGTTGGTTGGTTTTGAAGTGGATGGAATGATCCAAAATATGAGACCCTTTTTATTAATGATTAATGAGAGGAGGCGAAGAGGCACTGCAAAGAGAAGGAGGGGAAGAAAGCTGAGCGTCCAACGAACGACGTCACTGGGAAAAATCGGAAAAAGAACATCCCCAGACCGAACCCGGCCAAACCCCCTCCAGTTCTCTTCCTACTTGCTACTGCCGACTTTCGACTTCTCTCACTCTCTTTTTATTCCTCAATTTCACTTCACCCCAACTGACGGACTCTTCTCCACCCACTCAATTGGTTGATCTGCACACTTTACCCCTGCCACTCGTTTCTCCTCCGTCGATCTCCCTTTAATCCCTCCTTCTCCCTCTATAAGTCAATTGCGGGCGGGTCCTGCAAGATTCCCGCTCCATCTCCTCCTCCCCCTCCCCCTCCCCCTCCTTCGACTTCGAATGAATGATGCGCCCCAAGCCGGCGTCTTCATTGCAGAAGACCTACGATGATTGCTATTTGATGTGCTCAACTGCCGTCTACTTTGAGGGCCAGGTCTGTACTTCCCCCTCCCCCTCCCCCCCAGCATTCTACCCCCATACTTCAAGCTAAACTATTCCGATTCTGTTAGAATAATGAGGAGGAAGCCTTAAGATCTTGGCGCTCCGCCCTGGAAACGATCTACTACCACAACGCTTATCGAGTCCCCGCCAAGTATACCCCCAAGAACGAAACCGAACGAGCGTTGCAGGACTCCATCCGTCAGTTGGAGCTGCAATGCCGCGAGCGCGTCGATCTTCTGCAAGCCCTTCGCGAAAGTCGAAAGGATACATCGGGCAAATCGCCTCCGCGAGCCACCCCCGGTTGGATCGGCGATGGGACCGTCCCCGCCGTTGGATACACCGATCTCTCCAAACCGCCCACCATCCCCGGTCGTCCGACTCCCACCACCACCGTCAGTTCGGAGTCAATCCGACGGGAGTCAGCCAGTGCCGCCACTTCTCCCCCCATGCCGGGCACCCCCGCCCTGCGCACCCAATCGCATTCCCCGAGCAAGGCCGATTCGCGCACCTCTAGCCCCGAACGGCGGAAGCTGACCATGCCTTTTACCCTGCGCAGTTCGGAGATCAAGAAACAGAGCAAGAAGAAGGACAGCTCCCGCCGGAGGGATCTGCGGCCGGCCGCAGCCTCCCAGGCCGCAGGGTTGGCCTGGGGTAGCATCTACCCATCCTTTACGCCGCCAGACAGAACGGCCAGTGATGCGGCATTGGCCTCGACCCGGGCCTCCAATGACTCGAGCATCCGAAAAGAGTCGGAATCCCGCCGTCCGCTCTCCGGCGACGAGCGTGTTCCAAGGAGAGCAACACATCCGGCAGATGACCCCGACGAACGTCGACATGGCCGTAAACCCCGTGCCTCAGACCAGTCGGTATCGCATCGGCCCTCTGCACGGAGAACGGCAACCTCCTCCTCCACTACCACCCCTACTACATCGACGCACCGCAAACCGGTCGGCGGCGAAGTTCGACATCAGTCCTCCAATCAGTCGCTCCCCGCTTCGGTTGAATCGCAATCAAGGAATGTCGGTCGGCCGCAGCCTCCACCTAAGCCTTCTATCAAACCGAAACCGGTCTCCCTACGGTCACCCCATCCCACTTCCTCCCCATCAGGTGTGTCACCACACCCGCCGGAAGGTTCGGGCACGCCGCGAACCAAGCCGGCATCTCGTCCACGGATTACACCCACCTCGTCAACCGATGGCAGGCTGGTCCCTGGGTTGGATCGCCTGACCCTCTCACCCAGCAGCGCGAAGGTCGCTGCTCAGTCGCCAGGAGGCCTGAATCGCACGGTAACGCCTCCTTCCAGCGACCCTGAATCATCTGGGCCCAAGTCTACGGATCCTGACGAGGAAGACCTCGAGGAAGAAGACGAAGAGGATGCCATCATGAATGTGATGAATAAGCTCCCGAAAGGCGTCGATGCGACGGCTGCGCGCCAAATATTGAACGACATCGTTGTCCGCGGCGACGAAGTCCACTGGGACGATATTGCCGGTCTGGACGGAGCCAAGAAGGCCCTCAAAGAAGCCGTGGTTTACCCTTTCCTCCGGCCCGACCTCTTTTCGGGTCTCCGCGAGCCGGCGCGCGGCATGCTCCTCTTCGGACCGCCAGGCACTGGCAAGACGATGCTGGCCCGCGCGGTGGCCACCGAATCCCGATCGACCTTCTTCTCCGTCTCGGCCTCCACGCTCACCTCGAAGTGGCACGGCGAGAGTGAGAAGCTCGTGCGCGCGCTGTTCGGCCTGGCCAAAGCTCTGGCCCCGTCCATCATCTTTGTCGACGAGATCGACTCGCTGCTCTCCGCGCGCTCCTCGGGCACCGAGAACGAAGCCTCCCGCCGCTCCAAGACCGAGTTCCTCATCCAATGGTCCGACCTCCAACGCGCCGCCGCCGGCCGCGAACAGAAGGACAAGAAAATCGGCGACGCCAGCCGCGTGCTCGTCCTCGCCGCCACAAACATGCCCTGGGACATCGACGAGGCGGCCCGTCGCCGCTTCGTCCGGCGACAATACATCCCACTCCCCGAACAACACGTCCGCGAACAGCAACTCCGCAAACTGCTCAGTCATCAGAACCACGAGTTGACGGACGAGGACATCGAGGTATTAGTCCAGGTTACGGAGGGTGAGTTTTGCCTACGTTTCTCATTGACTCTCGTTTAAAATAACTAAGACATCTATCTAAATTCAGGCTTCTCCGGCTCCGACATGACCGCCTTGGCCAAAGACGCCGCCATGGGCCCGCTCCGCAACCTCGGAGAGGCATTGCTGCACACCCCGATGGATCAGATTCGACCGATCCGGTTCCAGGATTTCGAGGCGAGCTTGCTCTCGATCCGGCCCAGTGTCAGTAAGGAAGGGTTACAGGAGTATGAGGAGTGGGCGAGACAGTTTGGTGAACGGGGCGGATAGACAAGAATCGTCGGCATGTTGACCTTTTTTTGGCCACTCTCTTCTAAACTCCTTCTTCCCTATTCCTGGTTTCATTGTCTTGTTATTCTGTTGGCTTGGATGTCTTGTGGGGAGTCAATCTTTCGATCTGCTTATGGCTGTACTGTTACACTTGGTTCTGGTTCTGGGGTACGGGGTATCGGGTATACGATGTGGGCGGTCAGGCTAGGGTTGGGCACTCCGGAGTCTTTTGTTTTTCTCTCTTTCGGACAGGACAACTTGAGTACAGGCGTTTTTGTGGGGGCTGGGTTTGGGAGAAAATGGCGGGAATTGGATTTGTTTTAAGATGGACGGCCGCGGGCAAAGGCTTTTTTTGGGTGTGTTTCTTCGAGGTTTACTAGGAGGGAGGATGATTTCTGTAGTATGGAACTGTAACTGTGCGGAGCAAAGAGGGGGGGTTTGATAGCTATAGGGATAGGGATAGGGATAGGTGTCCATCAGGGTTTCCGGCACAGGGTTACAGATTAGGCTATGATATCTCCCACAAACCCGATCCGAGAGCTAAGTTTGATACTATAAATAGGTGGAAGCCCATGTCACCTCAGTATTCATCTGTTCATATTGACTGTTGACACCTATGAACAGGATATAGACGATTAGTATCACTTGAGTCACAGTACTTTGTTACTGTTAAACATTATATAGTCCACGGCTAAATAGAGTAAGGGCATGATATTTATACATTGAGAAGTACGGAGTAGTGAACCCTCCCTCCCCCTCAGAACCACCCGGAAAGAGATCGCTCGGAAATACAAAAGTACCCTTACCCTCCTCCTAACGGTAAAAGAAAAAAAAAAAAAAAAAAAAAAAAAAACAGTGAACGAATGAAGGGTTTGCATGCAGTGATCGAGATCGACATGACCAAGGGCGCTTTGCTTGGGGTGAGGGGGGCAGGGGCCCTCAAGAAAGCTCATATACACTACCATGGCGCTGGCCCTGGAGCTCATACACCTGCCCAGAGGGCTGATCATTGAACTCTGCGAGAGTCCTTGGGTGCCCGAGCTGTCGGGCCTGCGGGACGCCTGCCGACAGTGAATCCCGCGGGTGCAAGCCGACAGCAACAAGCCCCTCGTCGTCGTCGATGGGCTTAGGGGAACGTAGTGTAGTGCATCTCCCGTGTCGGAATAGTACCACTACCGCCAGCGCCGTCAGGGTGAGTGACAGGCTCACGCCCAGCCCAATGCCGGCCTTGGCAATGTCGGAAAGACCGCCGCCGCCGCCGCCGTCGTCGTCCGGTGACCCAGAGCTTCCGCGCATAGTAGGTAGCTCCGTCCAGTGTCCTTCCCAGCTATTCTCCCATTCGCTCAAGCTCGCGGAAATCGTGGCATCACCGGGTCTGATGACGGTCGGTCTTGCGGAGCCAGGGATATTGGGCCCGGGAGCCTGGGCTAGAAACCAGTTCCCCGCGGGAAGTCCCCAGTTGACACCAATGAATGCTGCTTGTGCAAAGGCCCGGCCCAGCGCATAGGTGCCGGTTGTGCCCATGCAAGGGAAGTAGGATGTCGGCTTCTCCACGAGAGGAGCTTCGAGCATCAGATTCAGCAGCGAGAATGGGACCTTAATAGTCAAGTTGGCGTTGTTGCGCGAGTTCTTGCTGAACACAAACCCGAGGTATGCTGGTGACGTGATGATCTGGCTATATAGACGGTCCGTGGTGTCCCAGAAGTAAAGCCCGTAGTCGGGTTGATACACGACCGGCAGCTCGGCAGCGATCGCTGCACATGTGCTTTGGGGCAGGTAGAGGTAAGGGTCCGCGGGGCTCATGGTCACAGTGATGCCGGGGGCAATTGATGCGTTCCCCTTGGCCAGAAGTCCATGCTGGGATGAATAGTTCCAGGGAGAGCCCCCTCTCACGACCCCAACTTTGATGTCAACTAGGCCGATGGGGAACGAACCACTGGAGAACGCCTGAGCCGAGACCTCGCCCAGAACGCGGTTCTGGTCATAGCCCCCTAGATACAGCGATCCAGGTATCTTGGGCAGCACCGAGCCAATGTGCATGCCATAGGAGTAAGATGGAAGCATTTTGAGGGTGCCAAACATGTAGCTCGGGACGAAAGTGGTCTGGATGGCGGGCTTGTCGTCATCCTGAGTGAAAGTTTGGTTGATGTCGCTTGCGCCTAGAGAGAGAATCCCCAGGTCGACGGGGTAAGCTTTCCCTCCAGGATAAACACGATACGCATCTGTGATCCATCGAGTTGATACGTTCGGTATCCTTTTGCCACCAACATCGTAGTAGTCGAATCCTTACCTGACCGTGCCGTATTGTCGCACAGCATCGGCCTCCCCCACACGAAATGCGCCTGCTGCGCCAAATCGTATTGATTCGTTGTCGAATGTGGCAGACCTGCTGCCGTCAAACAAGCCCCCTTCCTTGCTGGTGTGGCAGATGGGCGCGAGGGTGGAATTGGAGCAAATCGACTCTAGGAAGACGGAGCCTCCCCAGCTGCCTCCGGGGTATAATGACAGCTCCTGTCCTGGCGATCCCACCTTCACTGTTACCGCGCGCCACGGACCGTCGAATCCAAACGTCTGGTCCGACCAGGATACAGCGAAGGGGCTAGTTGCTGCGGTTGCAATGCAGTTACACCATATCTCGGCAGACAGGAAAAGATAGAAAGCAAGAATAGAACGGCACATGGTGAGATCTCCAAGCATGCCTTTCTTGACAGCGTGTGAATTGAACAGCCAGAACTCCTGTAGGGTTTAAGCAATAGAGAATAGATCGAAGCCATCATTGGACAAGGGACTTGATGTCTTTTTGATCCTCAATTCTTGCCCTAGGACTGGCTGCCTTTCATCAGTTGGGTGACTTGACCCCTAGACACCCGTCCGTCTGACCTGCGACTGTCAAGTTTTAGTGGTGGTAGCCCTGACTGGCTGCACTTGACTGAGACTGATACGAGGCCAAGGCTCTGAGGCTTTCTTTTGCCATGCGGTCTCAACCCTGTTTCTGTTGCTCAGAAATAGTTCACGGTTTAGGTTCATCTCACACCCAAGGGGGTAACTTTAGCGGTTTCTTTCATTCCATTGCTCTGGTCTTTCGTTGGGAACCTGCCTATCTTGCCTTTTCGTGCCTACCCGATGACGCAGGTCTTGCATGTGCCGGGCGAGTGTCTCGATGGCTACTGAAACGAGGGAGTCAAATTATTGAATTCCCAGGCAGATCATTCAGGGGCTGAGGCAACCCCGGTAGCGTGTGTGATGAGAGGCTCAGATCCTGAACCCACCCTCCAGGATGCGCCGTGGGGACTTTTCTCTTTCCTTGCCTGCGCGGCGTAGGCTTTCCCAAGAGCAGGAACGATGGTATACAACACATGTACTAAGGCGCGGCGCAGGTGCTACATGAAGAGAGATTAGCCACAGCTTTCAGCACATAACCAACGGGAGTCTATATTGTCAAATGATGGCCAACCCCCTCTTTTTTCCAAAGACACACGACCAAGATGTGTTGACTAGTGATCGCCAGTCCAGTCCTGACGAATTCCGTGCCAAATGTTCAGTCTACATGCAATCCACAGATTCTCTAAACGCACTGTAAGTACTAGCGGGGGGAGAGATACTCCAGTGACGAAAACAGAGCTTCGTACCTGTCGACGCTCGGCGAAATCCCGGTAGAAGCCTAACCAGAGCTCACGCGAGCGACAATCTTGCATCCCCGTCTGGGTGGTATCGTTGTGACAGGCCGGTTGTTCTTTGTCCATGACCGGCCCCGGGGTCTTCCGCCAAGGCTTTTTGAGTGGATCGACCGATGTCAGTAAGGACACCCAAAACAACAGGAGGAAAACCAGTTGGATAGACCAGTTTGTGCAGAACTTGCCTTGGAGACCGGCCAATCCGAGAAATGCAGGAATTTGGCCTCTGACAAGACCAAATCAGGGTCCCATCTGGTGTGCGGGGCGCCGAGGTAATTCGCGTGAGTTTTGGAACGAAACTCGCCGGTCAAGAGCATATAAGGACGGTGCGGCAGGACCATCGCACTATCCTGGTACAGATCATTCAGGATCTCCATGTCGTAGTCGGATTTCCCGGCCACTTGGATCCTCTCCCAGATGGAACCAAACTCGGATTCCGAGGGCTGAATCAAAATCACCGCGGAGGTTAGCAGGCGATGATCGAACCCGAGCCAGTACGCGCGTGGCATTGCCACGGGGACCGGGGGGAGAAGAAACAATTCATCCATTGCCTGGTAGGGGTTTTGAGGGGGTGACTGTCAGTATTTGTTCAGACAGCCAGCCAGCATTTGGGGGGGGAACATACCTGCAAGATTGTCCCATCAGAGTCTAGACTCAACACCCGTGCGTACTGGGTTTGGTTGAAAGCAAGAAGCTTAGTATAGCTCTCTGCCCATGTGACTGAATTGAGAGTTAGTCCAAATCTCTTCTTTCCCCAATGGAATTCCTCACCATCACTACTGCTTCGACTCTGCACGTCAATCGGAACCAGCCGCACGCGGTACTGCGCGTGCATCTTGCGCAGTAACCCACCTTCGATGGAATCCATCTCTGGATCGAAATGCGAAGGATACATCAGAACGCGATCTGGCTGGCTTTGCAAGTGGTGGAGTCTCTCAAAAATCATCACCGAGTTGCAAAGATAGGCGGTGTTGGTAGTATATTGCACGTAGGCAAACCGTGACCAGTCGATATTACCCAGAGACTGGACTGGCAAGGACGGGTCACTGCGACAGTATACCGGAGAACCTCTGATTGGCAGCCTCCATAGAAGTAGAACGAGGAGGATGGCACAGAAGGGTAGACAAAGAAACCGGGACGGAAGTAACATTGCGGGAGAAATTGGTATACAACTGCTGCTGCCGGGCGAAGAAAAAGTCGCTCATACCGATCTCTGCTGGATCTGGAGTATATGTGCAAAGGAAGTTTTCAAGAATGGAAGCACTTGTATACCTCGAAAGGCATTTATATCGTTCATGAGACTTTTGGGGGGGGGGCTCTTCTCGGGCTTCTAGGGCTTCAGGGCTAAGATCATGTCCCATGGTACTATACGACTACACAGCAATCATTGCTGGAATCCTAATGTGTCTTTTATGCTTCATTTCGACAAACATGGTATTGATTACCTGGTCAGCTATTGCAATACTTGATTTCCGTGGGAGTAGTCCAAGCTTCAGGCTCGAAGCTATACCGTCCATAGATGCCAGCCTTTATAATCTTACCACATAGGTCTCAGTAGTAGTAGTACTCAGTAGTAGCCACCTGCAGGTGGAGAGATAACCTTTTCAGCTAGTCTTCAACAGGTAGTATAGGCAACTTTGCCAGGACAAGTTAGTCAGAGTACGACATTGGATCTTGCCTCCTTTTCCTTTCTTTTCTCCTTTTTTCTTTACGACCCCCTTGGTTTGAAAAAGCTTGCTAGACTAGTACCTTCTCAGTTTCGGCCTCCTTCAATTCTTTCGCCAACGATCACTTTAGAGGCACAGGGTGGTTCAGATACTGTACTTGGATGATATCTTTAGACCCTTTGTTGCTTCATCCGAGGTTAGCCACCGGCCTTTGTTCTATTCGGGCAAGCCAAGAACAAAAACGAGGGACAGAGGGTCGCATCGCCGTTATGACATTTTCCCAAATCAACCAAATAAGAATAAAATAATTGAAAATGAACATCTGAGTCAATTACCCTCTGTGGCCACAAATTTTAAAACATGCTAAGGCCGTTCTGCAGCCACCTTTCTTAGTTCTATATAGCGTCTCTTGTAACGCCTATCCACCTTCTAATTAAGAAGATTGATATAATATATTATATTACCAATTGCTTTAATTTTCAGGGTTTTCTATTTCTTCTGACCTCAACCCTATTGAAACTATATAAAATTTAATCAAGAATTGGATTTGATGTTAATCTCCGGATAACTTCAGCGACAAGACGTTGATTAAAAAATTTTATATACAGACTTGGAAGAAAATCGGCCAGCTTATTCTGCCAGTCTTAACAAAAATACTTTCTGGAAAAATTTAAAATATAATCCGTGCAGATAGTGGTTCAACAAAATGGTAAAAATTCTCAAAGAGTTTTAAGTTTCGGGCTTTTAATTGTTTAGTATATTAATGAGTTTTCTTATATTATTTGTAAGATAATTTACATCTTTACTACTAAATCTGTAAGGCGTTCTGAGCTGCTTTTACTAGTAGGTCCCGGAGAGTTGTAAAATTCGTGGCCACGGAGGGTACATGTCGTTGGTACCCCTAGGTTTGGTTTGGAAAGTAACTATAACAAGCCCTCTACCAAAGGGGTCGAGGTGTAGATCTTTTTACTTAACATCAATCAGTCCATATGGTCGAATATCAGCTGCAGTGTATCAGTAGAGAAACTCTACATAGTTGGGGTATTACTCATGAGAAGCACTAATTCCTTGATACTGAGGGTAGTGGGCCTTCTATCGGTCAAAAAAAGAAGGGGTCCTTTTGAAGCTTGATGTCAAGGTGCTGAGCGCTAGAGGTCCGCTGCGGTATGCTAGTAGGGCTTCGTACAAGCGAGGCAATTTATATGAGCAGGGCTATTCCTGTAAGCAAAACAGTTTATGCGAGTGATGACTTCCGCGAGCGAGGGGTTCATACAAGTGAGGATCTACATGAGCGAGGTGGCTCGTGCGAGTTGACAAGCAGGACAAGCAGGTCGTACCGCGGTGGTCATGTGAGCAAGGCATCGAGCGAACGATGTGGGAGATTATCCAATGCTCAACCCGGCCTGAGCTTGACCAGAGAAAACAGATGTGTTGACTGTAAAAGATGGCACCAACCAATACCAATAAAGATAACAACAAGAAACCTGGTATCCGAATTCGATGACTCTTGATATCAACTATAAAGGGGGGAAAGTAATAAGAAACAAGTGAAGGCAAATAATAACAAACATAAGAAAGCCCGGGGGACAACGGGCTTCAGATATCAAAATCAGGATTAATTCCAGCCCCCCCACTCGCCGTCAATACACCAGTCCACCCCTCGGTCCTACAAATCGATCAAACTGCCACCCTGCTGAGGCTGCTGATGATACGTCTGCTGTCCCCCCCAAGGGTTGTTGACCGGCTGCGCAAACCCCGTCTGCTGTGGAACGAACTGCTGCTGCGGCTGGTTGAAGAAAGGATTGTTGCCCGTCCGCGTGGCCCGGAGCTTGTCCAATCCCTGTCCGGCCGAGTTAACAAATGTACCCGGAGCCGTGTGCTGGGCGGGAATCCGCAGATCTCCCACATTTCCGAAAGTGTCTTGTCCCTCTCCAGAAGCCAAGAGTGCGTTCAACTGTGCGCGATGCGGATCCAGCATCTGAGTGGGTGCGGTCTTCTGCGGCGTGAAAGACTGCTGGGGCGGTGCAAGTGACTGTGGCTGTGTCTGGTAGTTCGCGATCGGGTTAGGCGAAGTGAATTGGTTCGTGACCCTCTCTTCCGCCAAAGTATTCAGTGATGGAGGTCCCGTAGTAGCGGGGCGGCTCTGAAACTGCTGAGTACGTGGTGCAAATGGATTGTTCGATCCCGTGGGCATCGGCTTCAGAGCATCCGCTGGCTGTGGGCTAGCCCATGGGTTGTTCGTACCCGCCGACAAGAAGTTATCCTGAGGTTGTTGGAACTGCTGCTGTTGCGGTTGTTGCTGCTGTTGCTGCTGGGAAAATGCGTCACCTCCCCAGGGGTTGTTGACATTGAATGCTGTATGTTGTGGCTGTACAGTGGCCTGCGGCTGCAAATAGTTGTTTTGCGCCTGGCCATAGGGGTTCTGGTCAAACGAGGTGGACTGCGCCTGGAATCCGTTGCCATATCCATTGGGCATACCGGTCACCTGACTCTGGAAACCAGTAGGCTGGGCATATTGGTTGTTCAAATATCCAGTTGTCAGTGGCTGCTGAGGGTTGATCGGGTTGCCGAACCAGTCGACCGCGCTCTGCTGCTGATAACCCTGGTTGTATCCGGTAGGTTGCGGCTGGGCGACCTGCGTAGGGGCATCATCGAACAGCGAATGAGCGTTGCTCTCCTCCAGCTCCCGCTTGCGCAGCTCCTCTTCTTCCTTGCTCAGCTTGATTGCCTTCGCCAAATCCTCATCGTCGTCGGCCGCGGCCGCTTCCCTAGCCCGGCGCTTGCGCTCCTCCTCGGCTTCATACTTGCTCGCCTCGATTGCCAAGCGGTATTCGGCGTCGTCGTCGTCATTCGTGGTGCGGCGACGCTCGCGGCGCTCGCGACGGGGCTCTGGAGCGTAGCCCCCTTGGTGGTCATCCAGACCGCTCACCCGGGACTTCCAGAGCTTGCGATCGGAGCGCTCGCTGCGCAATCGGTCTTCGTCCAGAACGAGCGAGGTGAGTTCCTTGGCGGCCACACGGACTATGAATCGAACGGTTAGCCAGATATGATATAGATTACCCCAGCCACCCCTTTTAAAACCTACCATTCTGTCCGACATCGCGTCCGTCCTCATCAACGTACTGAAATTCGCGCAAAGTCTTGATGATGTAGACATTCTTACGAGCCCACGTTACTACCAACTCAGAGCCTTCGTGCAGGCAGTAATCCAAGACTTTCAATGACTTGAGAACGTGGCGCCAATTTTTGCCCTTGTCGTTTAAGCGCTTATCCAACATGTCCATGATCTCGTAGAAATCGGTGGGGCTAGATGGTTGCACGAGGGGGTCAGTTTGAGTCGCGGGACCATGCAGGCCACGGAGGACGCGGGGTAGCCTACCTGCTGAAGGTCAAGGCGGCGATTTCGGCCATCTCGGTGCCAGTGGGCCCCCACGGATCATTACTCGTAGCTGTACAGGGAAGAAGAAATGAGACATTAGCGTCAATCGACTATGAACTCATCCAATGGAGAAAATGCCGGAATGGAGGTGATCCTTAATTGAGTAGAAGTTATGACGATAAGGGGGGTGTATCGTAGGTTACAGCCGATCGGAGGCAAGATAAGCGGGCAGCAACAGTCCAACGTACCATTTCGAACCTTGACCTGCACGGAGGAATAACCCTTGGTGACGTTTTTCACACTGCGCACGACTTTGGACATGGTGGCGGTATTGCGTGTGTGTATGGGACAAGTGAGGATAGACTAGGCGGCCCTTTCCGCCTTTGGCTTGCGTAAGAGGGATGATTAGGGAGGGAGAGAGGTTGTGAGCGAGGCGAACAGGGCGATCGCGCAGAAGTGGGCGTCAATGAAGCTGGAGAGGATGGAGCAACTGCGATGGGGAGTAGAACCAGTCCGACTCCTTATCGCGCTTAGAACGGTGGGAAAGGCGTGTGTAAGCCGCGTTCGGAATTGTCACTCAGCGTTCTGGCACCCGGCGGGGAAAGACTGGGTGCAATTCAGGGTAATCCGAATAACAGGGGATCGCGACTGCAGATAGCAGTGAAAGGTCGGAAATAGGATGATGGGGTTGGAAGAAGAGGAAGAATAGATGTGAGGGAAAGGGAGGAGTTGTGGAGGAGGAGAAGAAGAAGAAGAAGAGAGGAAGAGAAGAGAAGAGGAAGTCGGTTGTTTGGAGAGAGAGAGAGAGAGATCGGGCGGACTAAAAGATTGGGTGCCACCGGAAGACCGTTCAATAGCTTCCAGCCAATTTACTTCACAACCACACCCTCTAAGCCGTTCTGGAATAGCAGGGATTTCCGGTCTTACTGAGCTCGGATGCAATGCGCTCGTGTTAAATGCAAAGGAACTCTCTTCCAAGTGTGTAGTTGCGTCAGGTTGTCGAATCTGCCTTCTCGGGCGTTCATTCACTTCCCTCGGGCAGCGGCCAGTCGGATAGGGGGCACCCAGACAGTGTACAAGGACGAAGAAGGAATTGGGACGGTACAAAAAAGTTATTCAAGATCAACCGGAGGGAGAATTGTCGGTCAAATACTATGGAGACCGGAAGAGCTAAGAAGAAAGGAGAAAGATTTTATCGAAATTGATAGTGATGGATGAGATGGTCAGAAGAAGGAAACCGAGCGATGATGGAACTACTTGGGATGGTGTCATTCCTTTCTCTTCCTCTTCCTCTTCCTCTACTCTCCATCTGGACTATGTTTCCTCTATTCATGACATTCATGCTATCTTTACTCCCTACCATCTATAAATTGTTTCCATGCTATTTAATATTATAGGGTTAGTTACCACTTCCACCATCACTTGACGTCAATTGACCATTCTCCTATACACACTTGAACACATACCTATACAACAATCATTCGACGCACTTCCTTCCAAGTCGGAAAAGTGAAAAAAAAAAAAAAAATCTAGGCTAGAGATTCAAAGCCTTTCCAAGACCCATAACCAACTCTAGACACTTGAGTCTGCTCTCTTTCCGAGGCGGTGCAGGCCATCAACCCCGTGTGTTGTGCTTAGCGCCTGGCCGGCCTCGCAGTCGACGTCATCGCAGGCAGGGCCGGCCTTTCTTGCAGATTGAAACCACGTTCGGCCTCATCTTGACTGACCCCCCCGATCATTACCCCGTCCATGCGATCTTTTTGATTGACACTGAGTGACAAGAAAAAGGGTCTGAACTCCCCCCCCCCCTGCAAAGATGGTGGAAGTTGCAGGCAGCAGAATTTATGCGGTTTCCTGGTCCTCCTTGTCGGCTCAAACCTTATGTCATCTCCGGGGCCCCGGATTTCTTTCCAAAGTTTGAATTCGATTATTGAGAAAATCTAGCTACCAGTCATCGAAGAATGGTCTATATTCCATGTCCATTGCTCACTTTGAAAAGTCATGTCATCTAAAGCCTGAAGAGATGAAAGAGAAGAAGTCGAAACTAGAAATCTGAACAAGGGAGGACAAAGAAGTGCTATTTTAGGATTTTTGCTCTTCCTCCAGACTGAGGTACTTGGCCTCAGCGCCCTTGATGCAGGCAATGTTCGCTCCCAGCTTGTTCAGCGTCTCCACATACTCATCGTACGGGTCTGAGTCGAACACAATGCCTCCTCCCGCCTGCAGGTAAGCCACCCCGTCCTTGACCATCATGGTCCGCAGCGCAATGCAAGTGTCCATCGCACCCGGCACTTCTGCCGTTCCATTCGCACTGGCGATGTTATAGCCGAAGTAACCCACCGCACCCGCATACACACCGCGCTTCTCGCCCTCCAGCTCCGCGATCAGCTGCATCGCCCGCACCTTGGGTGCGCCCGACACCGTTCCCGCAGGGAAAATCGATCGGAATGCGTCGAAGCGCGTCTTTTCCGGCCGCAAGATACCCGAGACCTGCGACACGAGATGCTGCACGTGCGAGAATCTCTCCACCACCATCAACCGATCCACCTGTGTCGTCGTCGGGTCGCATACTCGGTTCACGTCGTTGCGTGCCAGATCCACTAACATAACGTGCTCCGCGCGGTCCTTCAGACTGCTGCGCAACTCGGTGGCCAAGGCCTCGTCTTCTTCCGGCGTCCGGCCGCGCTTTACTGTACCCGCGATCGGGTGTGTGATGATGCGGCCCTTCTCCTCCTTGACCAGCAGCTCCGGACTGGCACCAACCAGCTGGAAGTCTTCGCAGTCGATGTAGAAAAGGTATGGTGACGGGTTGACGGTGCGCAGGTGTCGGAAGAGGTTGAAGGGGTGGAGGGAGGTGGGGCGGGACAACCGCTGCGAGGGCACGGTCTGGAAGATGTCACCCTTGGAGATGTGCTCCTTCAGGCGAGTAACATGACGCTCGTAGCCTTCGCGTCCGATGTTCGACGTGTACTCCTGGTTCTGTAGGATAGGACCCTGAGGTGGAAGTGGGTGGTCGGGGCGTAGGAGAGTCGCGATAATGCGCTGAAGGGCCTCCTGACCCTTGCGGTACTCCGCCTCGAGCTCCGCCTTGCTGCTGGGAATGGGAACGTATGTGATGACCTTGACAACCTGGAAGAAGTGATCGAAAGCGACGATAGTGTCGAAGAGCATGAACAGCGACTCGGGAATACCCAGCACATCCTTCATTGGGCGGGCCGTCTTAGGTTCGAAATACCGCACACAGTCGTAACCAACGTAGCCGATAGCACCTCCGGTCAGAGGGGGGAGAGTCAAGCCGGGTACTGTCGCGACGCGATATCCGGACAACTCCTCCTCCAGAATCGGCAGCGGATCACACTCAGGCCCATGGCCAGCGCCAGTCTTGATAACTTTGCGGGGATCTGCGCACGCACAAAAAAAGGAGACGGGCGAATCAGTCACGAGCTTTGGATCTCGAAAACCGGGGAAAGTGGGCTAGGAAGGGTACCGCATACCAGCTCCAACAAAACTGTATCTTCCGATGGTTTCAGTGGTGGCAGCACTTTCGTAGAGGAACGACAACTTCGATCTAAACCGGTCAGCGCGCCTACTTAGCGGCGAAGGTCGCGGGCGGCAAACGACTCACTTCTCTGCAATCTTCAGATATGCCAGGGTAGGAGTCAAGAGGTCGGCTGAGATAGAAGTAACCAACGGCAAAAGGTTGGGAGCAAACTTGGAGTCTCGAACGGAATCGATGACCTCGCCTGCAGTCTCGAGAGACGGCACAATCGTGATCTGGGTGAGTCAGAAGGGATTAGCATGCAACCACTTTCGTACCAGTGATGTTTGTAATTCTCGTCGAGCGCGATGCATGTTACATGTTTAGAGACAATGCAAGAACTAGAAAGCACTTACAGACGGCGCCATCTTTTGTGTATGGAGTTGGTGATGTGCGGGAAAAAGTAACGGATGGGGGAGAGGCGGGAGAAGATTGGCAGGGAGGGACAATCAAAAAGAGCCCGAGTCCGGAAGTGAACCGGAGCTGAGCCCAGGATGGAGGGGGAGGATTTGCTGGCAGGCGGGGCGGGCGGGCGAGCAGAGGCAATGGATATTAGTATAAAAAGAGGCTTCTCACAGTGGAAAGAATGGGAGAGTGGGATGGGATGACAGTGAGAGAGGAAGAAGAAGAATAAGCCACCGCTAAGGCGATGCCGAGGAACGAGAAAAGCAAAAGCTCCGTAAAGTGATTCAGTACAGAGTACTAAGTTCAATGATTGAAGATTGATATGTTCCCGAAGTGGCCATCCAGAGTGTATCAGTGCCCAGTGGATGCCTCAATTGACTGGCATGCAATTCTCCCAACCGGGACTAGCGTTACCGGCCTGATAGACGGTGGCATTCATCCCGATTCTTATTCATCATTATCATCCAGCTAGTTAACTAACTAGCTAACTACTGTTATTGACATTGACAGCCCGACTGTCAACAATCCCATTGTTCCTCCTGCAATTCCCTTGCTTGGGTGTCTGTCTACTGAAGTTTGGACCTTCGGGATCGTTCCCTAGTTTCAATTCAGGATATTATAATATACTCTTTCTTTTCTACCTATCAAGCTCCTTTGCCATCCTGTCGCCCAACCCAAGTTATTCCCCGGTTGCTGTGGGAATCCTCCGCGAACCTGATTAGCTGTTGTTCTTGCTGGAAGCATTGTTACAGCAGTCATCATCATCATCTGAAGCCGGACGTGAGCTGTTGTTTTTAATACCTTCGCCCAAACCTGTTCTTGGGTATCACTGCACGTCAGTCTAAAGAAGGGTACATTTCACCCTTTTTCTCCTGTGCGCACGGGCTTGCAGCACGCTACTTGTAATCCGCCCCCTTGCACCGACCCTCAAATTCTATGCTCATAGGCCTGAAATTTCTAAGAGACTATCGAGATAAGGGAATAAGTGGCACTACGATAGGATCCAATTATAGAAAACGAGAAGACAACAACGTCTTTGAACCCCCGGAATAGCCCTCCATGGAGCATCAGACATCTTACTCACAGCCCTCGCCGCCATCATCGGTAGCCGAGCAAGCATGGGATAAGACTCTCACAGACCACGATGGATCTTCGCATATCCTCGAAAGCGAGATAAATGATGCAGCCTTATTGCCTGCACGTCTCATCCGAGTGGCTCAAATTCTGTCCGAAAGCAATTCGATTTCTATATCAGACTCCACCACAATCCACCACTGCCTCCAAGAGATGGAGGCCCTGCTTGATCCGCGTCCGGCATTCTCACAAGAAGTCGCCCGTTGTCGGCCCCGTGCGCATTCTCGACCGCCTAGCCCAGTAGACTCTCCTCGAAATCCACATATGAGTTCCATCACACCAGTGTCGACCACAGCGAATCATCTCGGTGATGTCCAGGAGATATCGCACTCTCAGCTGCGAGATATTCTCAACGAAGTTACAGCGATGAAGACGGAGTTCAGCCAGCGCCGCAGAGAGTCGCTTGAAATTCACAGTTTGCTCACCCAGGAGCGTCAGGTGTTGACACAGAAACTGGCAGAGCTAGACGACGAGATACACGAACTGTAAGTGACGCCTCATGATTCTTGTCTGTTGCCTTGCTGTAATTAGCATACTGATATGTCGATACTAGTCGGAAAGATATTCTCGAAGACTCGGCGGAACGGGAGGCCATGCAAGGAACGATCAATGGCTTGGAAATTTGGGTGGACGACTGGCACAAGCAGCATCTCTTAGCTGTGGCGGGGGGACCCACGATGAAGTATCGGC